ACTTCTCCTCTATAGAATCAAGCCCCCTGGGTTCAAGTACGTGTCCCGTGGATTCCCGTGGTACCAGTCCTCATGCTGATCATGTTCTGGAACGGTCTTCATATTGTCCTCCAAGGCTGTCTCCTTCCAGCGCAAAGAGAGAAAGGTTTAAAGACATACCACGTCTAATCAACCGCCTCGAAGTTTTGTCTCGGCACTTCAAAAGCCAGTTCCTGGCGTGTCATCTTGAAATATCTTGGACACTCAAGAAAACAAGACGTTCATGGCAGGACCTGCTGTTCAGACATCATCTCATCAAGGCGCGTCCACAAAGTGGCATCATTCTCCTGCTCTTTTCAGAAGCGCAAGCACGAATGTGAATGAACCCTCTGGTGGGCAGTGAAAGGTACACACCCTGCCTCCTCAGGATTTGCTGCTTCAGGTACCCGGATATCCTGACCACCTGTAGCATGTCCAAGCGCAGCTTCTGCTGCTCCCGCCTGGATATGAAAGATCATGAAAGACATTGAAAGACTAATCGTTGGGCGAGGTGTTGTGTGTATTCATTCTGTCTTCTTGCCTCAGCTACAAGGACGTCCCCAGTCCCTCTAGGAAGCGCAGGCTCAGCAGGTGTTGCCGTATCTGGTGCCGTCAACGACTTAGCATTTGCTGCTCCCACCTGGGTATGAAATAACATGAAAGACCATGAAAGACATTGAAAGACCATCGTTGGGCAAGGTGTTGTGTGTATTCGTTTTGTCTTCTTGCCTCAGCTACATGGACGTCCCCAGCCCCTGTAGGAAGTGTAGCCGCAACAGGCGTTGCCGTCGTTCGCGCCTGTCAACGACTTGGGCTTCCCAAATGAAGCATAACCAAATGATACGAAATGCATCAAAATGCATCAACTGCAATATCAATAGAACTCAACTAAGAACAAAAACATACAAAAACAAATATAATATCCTCGCAAATCCTGGAAGCTTGTGCTGAATCCTTCACTTCACTCACTGGTCACTTCAGCCATGCACACATGACAACGTGTGCCCGCGTCGAGCTAGTAGCCGTGCTTGGCCGGGCTGCATTATGCGTGCTGGCTGTTTTTTTATTGGCCTTTAGCCTTCAACCAACACTTCAAAACTGCTTTACAAAAAGAGGCGGTGTACATCGCGGAAAATGGCAGGTCTTTTGTTCCCTGCCACCCACGTCCACCATTGGAACGCCTGCACTCTTGGTAATAAACTCGTGGGTTCACTCGCTTCAAATTTCTCTTCACCAGCCGGGCCTAGGCTAGAACATCCTGGAACCATTCAGCCTTACAAGATTCTACCTGATTGCTGTTAAATCTCACGACAAAGCAAAAGCAACCACTTGTATGCGTCAGTCAAGGAACCTTGATTCGTTCTCTGTCCTTCTTGGTCAACTTCCTCTTGAGCTGCTGTGTTGACCTGTCATGAAAAACATTAAATTAAATCCTCCCTGCCCCAACCACATTTTCTGCTCCAAGCTGAAATCACTAATTGGATCTCTTTGAGGCTGGCACTCCATGTTCGACAGCAAGTGCGTAGGCTTGGCCAGATCATGGGCAAAGAAGCCCATGTACGTGAGGACCACAAACCTAAGGATCAATGAGACAACCACCCTTGCAAGATGGGACCCTCCAGGGACCTGATTTTGTAGAGATTGAGTGGGAGGTGGGGGGGAAGTCTTGAATTTGGCAAGGTGATGCCAGGTGTGTTTTTGGATGTTGTTAAAACCAATTAAAACCAGGACTCTTCCCATTCTACCAAGATAGGACCCTCCAGGGGCCCAGATTTTGTAGAGATTGAATGGGAGGTGGTGGGGAAGCCTGACTCATGAATATGGACCCTTGCAAGATGGGACCCTCCAAAGGCCCTGATTTTGTAGAGATTGAGTGGGAGGGGGGGGGCCCAACGCTGGGTTCTCCAGACTCATGGTCCTTGATAATATAGAGAAAACTGGTGACAGAAATGGCCCAGGCACCTGGTTCTGTAGAGAATTTGGATCTTTTGATTGTATATATACAAAGTATGACCTATAGTATTCTATAGTTTGATATAGTTTGTATCGACATGTATCGACTGCAGGCTAGGCGCATTGCGCCCAAATGCTTAATGTTCATCATACACCCTGTCTTGTATGCCCATGATTGGGCTGGCTGCTCCACAATGATGAACAAGTCGCGAGAAAGCTCCAGCAAAATGCGGAGCACTGTCGCCTCACTGTCTCGTACAACGTTGTAGCGTGTTATAGCCGGTTCATGCCGGTTCAACGCTTTTTTCGTTTCAATGCGTTACGTTTTCGTTAGTCTGTTGATTGTTGTTCCCCAAAATTCAGCCAATCTACAAAGTTGCGCCAAATCAAATTGGCAAGCCGGACTGAAGTCCGGCTGGTGTCACCTTCTGGTCGCCACTGGCTTCGCATATGGATGCTGGAAGAGGCTTGCACAAATAGACTGCAAGGTGGACCACCAATCAACAATCCCTGTGGCTTCAGCCTCAAGAGTACCCAACAAAACTCATCCCTTTTGCCTCAACATGCCGCAACAAATTTCAAACACATGAATGCTTTCCAGGAAACGAGAGTGCCATCCCCAACAACTCAAAGAAGCCACCCCGGCTTACCATGTCATGATCTTTGTTCAATTTCAAGTCAAAAGCCACACCACGGTAGCCAGCTTTCTCCCAGCAATGCCTCGGTCCGTCAATCATTTCTGGAAACTTTTCGAGGTAATTCACTAATGTTCATAAATATTTTCCATCCAATGCGCCCAAAGGACTTATTCTCTGGGAAAATCCAAAAGCGTCCACAACGTCCAATGTGCGCTCGCCTGCCCACTGGCGCGCCCATGTCAAGGCATCCTCCCACGAAGCGGCTGCCTCAAACCACCTGGGTCGCTGCGTCATGCTGCGTCAATGCAATTTGCGTCAATGCAACTGCCCGATAACAAATCTCAGCATGTTTCAGTATCTACTGTACATGATTCTACGTGAATTAAATACTCCGAAAGATCAAACTACAAGCGCAGCATGGGCACTGCTCCTCCGGCACACTGCAGCTCGTGTCATCAGCCACAGACAACACGCCAGTCACCCAGAGGCACACGAACATCCACATGTGTAGCAAAGGCATGTCCGATTGAAACTTGAATGCCAACACGATCCAACACGATCCCAAACGGCTGCATATCAATATCTCCGAAACAAAGCAAAAATGATCAAACATGATAACAATTGATCACACAAGATCACACCATTAACAAATTGAAAGTTGTGAGTTGTGAAAGAATGCGCCTGGACTGGTCGTTGTGGTGGATCAGGCAATTTACGTTCTTTCGCGTATCGACAGGCAGCTGCGAAGGACCGCAACTGCTTGCTATCATCCCACTGCCAATAGTCTTAGCCAGGTACACAGTTCAAAAACTTGCAAATCTTCCAAATAAATTGGAACTGACAAAATTATCAATATAATTATTAATACTACAGAATTTGCAGATTAGCTGCAATCTATGATGCCTACGGTGTCGCCGCTCGCACGCATCCGACTGGTCAACTTCCAGGTCATGGCGTGACCCGTGGCAGACAAACCGACTGTTTGTCAAACAACAAGCACAGACTTGCGAATACGCCCTGCATGCTTGGACATGCTTGGACATGATTAAACTACCAAAACATACCAAAACTTCCCTTGAGGGGATGTCTGGCCCTTTTTTTGCATTGATTCTTAGAGCATCTTTCAGCTTGAAAGTTCTCCGCATGACGCATGGCCATGCGTGGCCCTCGACCCTTGTGGCCACGATAAGCAGCTCAGCTTCAAAAGAAAATGCACAAGACAAAGCAAGAAAACAACGAGATACAAAGAGCATTCAACTGGAGTCAAGAATCTATCTGAAACATGCTTTCCCTACAAAATGGGTTCTACCATCCCCCTGGGAGTTTCCCTCCAGGGGCCCTGATTTTGTAGAGATTGAGTGGGAGGTGGGAAGGATGATTCCTGAAAATGGCCTGATGGAGCTTCAAAGTCCAAAGCGGATTGACACCCAAGTTTTGACATGTTTTGACTTCCAAGATGGTTTGACTTCCAAAGCGGTTTGGTTCTGGAGTTAATGTCAAAAAAGTTTGGCACCAGAATCTTGACTCAAAACCAGTTTGTTGCCGGAGTTTCAAAATCCAAATCGGTGTGACACCCAAGTTTTTGACTTCCAATGGTCCAAAAAGGTTTGGATTCCAAAACGGTTTGGTGCTGGAGTTGAACTCCATCACAGGGTTTAACTGTTTAGATTTTCTCCAAACCATCACCCTTCCCATGCTTCCAAGATGGGTTCAACATGGTTCAACACCTGTGCACACCCTTGTGTCAACAGAAGGATACTTAACCAACCATCTCTACAA